GAAGTTTCTCTCTAAAATCGATGTAAGATTATACTTTATTAAACCAATTAACATTTGGAGTAATTTTGTCATAATATAATAAAAAACAACACATCTAAACACAATGGGTGTGATACTGTTGTACTTACTTGCTGAAACGAACTCTTCGTCTGACGTAAGCCGCCATGCCTCTGAATTGACCACAATCGGTAGCCCAAACAACGGCGCCCACTGGAAATCAGCCATATTCAAACTCCTTGCTATCGTCACACAGCCAGTAGGAGTTTTTCAATAATTTCGAAATACATTAATTCATGATTGGTGGTGTGGTTGTTATTGACTCAGGCCGCAATCAACTCCGAGGACTTTATCCGTAAGTGTAGTGCATATTTTTCTTGAATGGGGGCGTGATCGTGCTCCCGCTAGATCCGAGATTCCGACGCGTTCTGGCCGATGGTTAGCGGGGGTTACTCCAAACAGTTATCTCCCACCAGGCAGCCAAGATCTAAGGCTCCGACATGTGTGCATGTAGTGCGCATTCTAGTGTGTGTAAAGGAGTGATGAATAGGACGAGGAAAAGGAGGGTAAGATCGTCCGTGGACTCGTTTGTTAGGTACGCTCTGTATATCAGTTAGATGCACTGAGCACTCTCCCGTACATAATTCATATCATTAACACATGTTATACACTGCATAAAATAAGGGAGGAATAAAAAAATTATCTCATTTTGGGCAATAGGAAAATACTCAATATTGTATTAAGTATAAGCCTAGAAATGACACAAATAATGTACTAGTTTGTCTTTAATGTCAACACTCTGCCATGTGAAAGGAGAATTTTAATTATTCTCATTAATAATGCCTTGTCCCTTACTTCCTGGAAGAATTCTTCTGGGTTGGAGAGATATTTCAGAAGTTTGTGCAAACGTGCAAACGTTAAAGCACAATGGATCTTTCTGCCATGCGCAGGTTTCAAGTTTCCGCGTCCACTTTAGTGCATCTGCGCAGCGCAGAAGATCGAAACTGGCTGACCGCTATGGCATGCACAAACTCCTATTAACGTTGATCAGTCGGGGTAATCCAAACGAATATCACTCCCTGAGACGCGAGTGATATTTGCATTGCGAATCTTGAGCCCAGCGCTCACCAAGACTCACCGTCAGCTACGACCCCACCGCTTTCTTTATTTAAAGAATTGAAGAAAGAAAGCGAACTTTTGGTAATAAATGATACAGAATGTCAAATTCGAAACAAATGACCATTTAGTTCAGACTTAACAAAAAAATATAGGTTCGATGCACGACACGACTGGGATTAGTAAAAGTGAAAATGATTTAAACATAATGTTTAACAAGGCTAGAAGAAATAATTCAAGGAAAAAGCTTAGAAGATTAAGTTGCCTTAATAATGTACCTTTACATGAAAATAGGGAAAATTAATATTCATCAGAAATTGTTAATTTATTTTTGCTTGCCTGCCTAAAAGGCCAATGCTATTACAAAAAAAAACTTACAGGTACCGGTAGATTGCTTACGGCATGGGTCAACGTACAAATATGAAATCGCAACACCTGTTGCGTCACTGAACAGGACAACCCGCCCCTTGACTGACTCGGAAGACACATCAAAACAGTTGTTAACAAAAATGTACCGCCAAAAATTGCTAAACTTTATCCCTTTTTACTCTAAATCAGCTATTAAGTATTGAATTGTGGAAACCTACATTGTATAAATCGATATTTACGACAACAATTTACGTTATGCTGCCCAATTTGTGCAATGCGCAAAAACACACATCGAAAACTACAAATCATTCAAAATAAATGTTTTTAAGAAAAATAACTAAGGCTCTGGTTATTAGTAACAAACAACTCAAAGAGAATTACGAACTGAGTCAAATACTAAGAACACTCCTAAATCCTCTCACAAGTTCTTTGACTCTTTCAGATCTCAGCCACGTCCAACTTCAAACTCAGCAAAACTACCCCAAAAAATAGAATATGCTCACGATTTCCAAGATATAACTCAGACCTCGCATAAATACTCTGCAACGTCATTAATTCCAACAGCTATGATATAAAAATATAAGATATAAATATTTATATCAAATGCAATTATAAAAATCAATTCACACAAAGTCAATTTTTTAAAAATTATAGCATGAACACAGCCTGTAATATTCAGGACAATTAGAGTGAGACAGATGTCAAAGCATTATTTTGTAAAATGTTTAACACCCTGAAAGCAGCAATGCGAATAAAGTTAATAATAATAATATATAAAAAAAGAGGTAATCGGTGGCAGAGAGATCCCGTGACGCCTCCAGCACTCATCCGCAGCAGGCCAAGGTTTTCTCGATAATGGCATTGCCGGAACTAGCGTATCTAATCTCTGCCGCTTCCCCGCATGTCCCGCAAGCAGTTTTCAAAACCAAATTAAGATTACACTACAAAATAGTATATTACACAGAATACGAGCTGTGAATTGTATTTTGAGAAAATATGTTGAAATACTAAAAGTTTATTCTTCAGCTTCTAAGCCCATGCAAGACGTTTTCTTTCATACCAGCTGTTAATCTGTAATTTTTGGGCTGGTCTATCAAGCTTTAAAATTCATTCTTAGTAGCGTACACCTTTACTGTGCTTTCTTGATACACAGATTCCACTACTTTCCAATTTAATTTTATTTGTTTAGTAGTACAAACCGATTTTTTGTGCAAATCTTCCTCAAACATCTCTCAGATCTTAGTGAAAATATTTCTCTTCTTGACGCACATGTGTTCTTCGAGGGGAATAATTACTTCACCAAGGACAATTTTTTTCTTAATTCGCCGAATAGATGTTCGGATACTTCAACCTTCGAGATATTCTCACGATTTGAATTAATTTCTGTGTCGACAAGAGACTTTCACTGCTGGATATTCCGAGGAGACAAATCACTTGCCTTCCCATTATTTTTATCAAAACTATCAGTTTTCGTATAGACAACAATTCACCAATTTTAATTAACATCACGGGCTATAATATTTTCACCAATAATAAATGGAAAATCTTCTGCAAGATACAACTACTCATTGTCACTCTTGTTTCTAGCCAACTCTTGTAATTTGTGCGTCTAGCAACAAGGAGGTGTAATAACCAATGCGTACATAATGAATAATAATGTGTTAATTATTAGAAAAAGAAGCTTTGTTTTTATTGATTGATTCACAACAATGCCAGATGTAATGTACTGCAGTGAGAGAATTCAAAACTTAACATTTTGTTAAAAATTTGGAGTGCGTCTAATAATATGGCCAGGGACTGTAGGCTGCAACTTACTCGGCCTATTTAGAAACCCGTTTCTGCTTACGTAAATGTGAGATGTTTAAGCTGCTCCTATTAGATTCTCAAGCAGAAGGCCTCAAAATGCCTGATCCATTGGACTGAAGCCGCGGACGGAGGCTGTCGCGAGCGGCGCGTGGCTGCGGTGAAAAAATGCCAGCGGCGGCCACTACCCAGCAGCCGCGTGTGAGTTGCAGGACAAGACAATGCCTGCAGGGGAATTCGCGGAACGCAGCGCGAACACGGTGATTCATCGGCAGCAATTACGTAATACGCCGGCGAACGCTGTTACAGTCTGGATCGGGGTCATGATCGCCCTTCCTCAGGATTTTACGAAATGCCCAGCCCACGACATATTTGAGCAAAATGTAATAAATCTCAAAATATTAGGGGGAAATAGCCCCTCTTCTAACTGGAAGTTATGATTACGGGTATTTTATTGTTGGCAAAGGCTTATTTGCACCGCAGCATTTATATAGGAAATAATTTTTATTTTGCAGATTAGCCGTGCTTAAATACACTTAATTTTGTACGCTCAACCACTCAAGTAGTGTTTTACAGCCAGTTTGGTGTTTGTAAAAATGATCCCTGCCCTGTGTGATAAGACAGCGTCATCGGTTCGCGGAATACACCGCATGTGTGAAAGCGATTTGAAGGTCACTCGCGTGCTCTTTGGCCTAACGGCTCTATTCTCCTCTCCGCATCTTTGAGATATATAACTTACAGTGTACGACTACAGGAGAAAACATAACAATAACAAAATAGAACAATATGTATGCTTCTTCAGCTGTTGTCATTAATTATTAAACCCTTTTGAGAGAGTGAAAGCATAGACGTCAGAGATCAATCACGAGTTATGTTTTTGTTTAGGTAAAAGTAATAGGTTTATTAAATAAGCAGTGCTTTTTGTTCGACTGAACTCTTTTTTTTTTTTTTCATAATCCCTTTCGCCATCATTTATTACTAAAGTTTTGGAAGATTCAGTTTGCCATTAAAGGGAAATTTTGCATTGTATTGACAAGTTGTGACTATTGTTCACTCCTTTACAGTCTCACGGAGGTTTTTCACCCTTTTCCAAGGATGGGTTTATGCGTAAGCACAAAGTACGTGGTTAGGACTTCCAACTCGTACTACTTTCAGAAAAAAATCAAACCTCCAACAAACAATTCAGTCGGATGCTAAACAGTTTTTTAACACGCCGTGTGCGAAACGCGGTTTGTCGTGCTCGTTTTCCGTGTGCGAAACAGCTAATTTTTACACAGTGTGCGAATCTGTTACGATTCGCAATTCTTCATCTTTCATTCATTCAGTCATCTTCACGACGACTTTGTTTATTATTTACAAACAATAGTGTTACGACACTGACTGGGTCAATTTACTTTTGGACAAGAAAGGTATTTCTAGTTATTTGATATGTAATTTATATTCCTTTGCTTGACACATTGCATTTTGCTCACGGCCTTGAAAAATAGTATACGCAACACGGGCGCGAGGTGATTCCCCCACTCGTCTCTTTGTCGACACGGCTCTACTCGTGCGTGAATCACCTGTTTCGCGGTGTTGTTACGTAAACTACTTCCAGAAATTGGCAGACGCTCCTCTTGAGTGGAATGTGAAATCTTTGAAACAATTGAAACGATTCAATTTGAAGGAGGCGAAGTAGATGACGGCTGGCGCCCGCGCTTTCGCGTGTCTCACAGGCAGCGAAGCCCTGAGCCGCAGTGCGCTCACGGCGGCCTTCCTCAACTTCTCACGCGCGCTGCATCACAAACAGCTGTCTGTGGAATCGTCGTCGTCGCACCGGCGGCTGGCCAGCTCCCCGGTGGCGGCGCCGCTCGCCAAGAGCCCCTCGGCGCCCGACCTGCCGCTGGCGGGGCGCGTGGCGTGGAGCCCCGCGGGGCGGCGGCCGGCGGCGCTGCGCGGTGCGGCCGCGGCGGCGGCCGGCGGCGGCGACGTCGGGGCAACGCCCACGCCCCGCGCACGGCGGCGCCGCCTCGCCGCTGCCTCCGGGCGGGCTCAGCCGCGTGAGCTCGCCCGCGCGGCACGTGGCTCGCCCGCAGGCGGCGGCATGGGAGTGGCGGCGGGGGCGGGGCGGCGGCGGCGGCGGGGCGGGCAGCGCGGCGGGGCGCCGCGCCATGGCCGCGCGGCTGCTCCTTGCTGTCGCCTCAGCCTCCTCCCGCGCCAGGCGCTCTCCGTGGACTGCTACTCGCCCCGGCGCCGCCCTCCGCGCACGCCACGGCGCCACGCGCTCGCCGCCGCAGCAGGACTCCTGGAGCCTTCGCGGGCGTCCGGCTCGCGCCGCGGCTCCCAGTGTGCGCGCGGCGCGCCGCCTAGCGCCCACCAATTCACTCGCCATGATTTGACCCATATGTAATTGGGATCGACATCACAGAAGGGCGTATGTGAACTGGGGACCCACCTTTCTGGGCACATGGATGACTACCTCTGTCCTGCCGGGTAAAAGCTGAAATGTGACACTATTTTTGATGAATGATGAAAATTCTGATTCTGAGGTTATATAATTAAATATTTGAAGGTTAAACAATTGAATGAGTCATTTTTTAATTTTTAATTTTTTTTTATTTCCAAAAATCTCGAAAAACTTTTTTCCTCTCTGGTACACTGTGCGCCGTCGAACAACAGTTCCCGCGATCCCACTCGTTTCCTCTCTTCTCTTCCCGTAAAAGGACCTTTCCCCTCCCTCGCTTCCCATCCAACCCACCTCGCCAAAACCCGACCCGCACGGTAAAGAGCAGGGCAGGATTTAGGTACTGCGGGTCCACCAAGCACAAAATCGTTACGCTGTTGGGAAAAAGACACCATCAATCGTAACTCAGAACTTTTTAGTAAGTATTTGATTATTAATTATTAGATAAATATTAAGAGATGCAAACATTTTCTGGAATATTGCATGTCTTTTCTCGAGGCGCTCCTCGCTCTACAGTTAATAGCGGTTTAAGTTCAATATGCGCACATTTTGTTGAGCTCCCTTTTTTGTTAGTTATAGTTGAACTGGAGCCGGGGTTGTGGGATTGCTATTTTGTTAGCAATATAATGTAATAAATCCAGTTAGTTCGTTTAAAGGATGCAAACAAATGTTACTCGGGGTTATTAGGGACGACTTTTATAGTTTTCAAACATTTCTAACCACATTCTGTTTGTAGTTTTATTCAACTACGTATATAGTAATGTAATGTAATAGTAGAAGGTGGAGTAGAAATTGTGGAGCTCAAGGGATAGTGTGCAGATTAAGCTCTAAGTCTCGAATTTAATGCCATCTTTTGACGAAGTCAATGAAATGAAAGTGCTTATTTGCTTGCGGCAAGTGGGCAGGAGGCCTGCGTCGTCGATGCGCTGCGTGCGTTTCTGCTCGGCAGCGTCCATGGCCTTGGACCTGCACCTGCCAACGACTGCCCGTGACGTTGCACGTGCGGACAACGCCGCGGCGTTCCGAGACGGCCGCGTCGACATCAGCTCCTGCGCCAGCGTCGGTGAGTCACCCCGCCCCCCCCCCCGCCCCGCCCATCTCGCTCCCATGTCCCGCGGCGGCCCTCGCTTTCGCCATCACTTCACACCCCCAGAGGGGTTGGTGTGCCAATCCTTCACCACGTAAGGTACGAGTTCCAACGTTGTGGATTTCCGATTAATTATTTCTGTTTCCGGCATGTCAACGACGACGACGACGAATCCCGTAAGTGTGTTCATGTTTTAACTGGGAGGTGCTGTAATCTCCCCGCTGGATGCAAAATCCGTCGCATCCTTCCTGTCGTTTGCACGTAACAGGGCCTCAGCCCGAGCTGGACTACCTCTAAGCACCCCACTGGCCTCTCGATGTGGGTGAGTATACGATTAAGGAAGGAGGAAAGGAAGATGGCCGCTCCGGCGTTCGCCTGGTTCGATCAGAGAAATTCACTGAAAACTACCCATCAGTGCAGCCAGCCGTTAGAATTCACCTCCAGACAGCGACTGACTTCGACCTAGCGATCTAGCTGCTGTCGAAAATCCTCCTAGCGTGGGGACTCGAATCCACAGGTGGTCAGAGGCACTGCCGGTGATTGTCAGTTGATGCCTGAGCCACCTCAGTCGGTCGTGGATTTCGATATTAGGTAAACAGCAGGTTCGATTCAAGCATTGTCTAGAGGCTGGCTGTCTTGGATCGGTATCCTTATAAAAGGCTGGTGCTGTTTAATTTCAAAGCTATTTTCTGACTGCTAATTTTGTTGGTGAAAGTGCACTGGGTTCGAAAGACTTGTGAATTGAGTGTTCTCTGCAAGGGCGCGGGCGGCGGCAAGCGACCCACGGTCAGCGGCGCGGCGTGCATTGGCCGCATTGCGTCATCCTCACGAGATCGGCCTACGAGCGAAGTGGCTCAGTGCGTAGCGCGCTGATTTGCAATCGGGAGGTCCGGCTTCGATTCCCGCGCCGGCCATCCTGACAGGGGCTTTTCGTGTTTCCCTCGGTCATAAGGCAATGCTGGATGGTTCCAAAAGTCTCTATCACCTTTCACAATATCCTATCACCTCCTAGATATAATAATAATAATAATAATAATAATAATAATAATAATATAATTAATAATAATAGATTCACAGGGCGGACATAGTTGCTCCGTCCGTGTCTACCACAGTGTCCCCTGGGTAACGCTAATGAGCAATGCATGCGGAGCAAGAAAAAGAAAAAAATGCACAGTGCACGTGCGCGGTGAGCGGCTTCGCGCGTCCGCGTGCTCCGCTCTTCACTCTCCCCGATTGCAGCTGGGGAGGGGGCGGGCCGAAGATCCTGTGTAAGAAGACACAATAGCAATTATTAACGTGAATATGTCTTGTTACTGTAAAGACTTCAGTTGACAGCCATACTTTGAAGGCGCCGGCGAATATCAGACGCACAGGTACTCGAGACGTCGAGGCGACACGCTCCGAATACCAGATAAGACACCACAATATAGTCCTAGCGCAGTAACAAGGCACGCAAACTTTGGCACCTGTCCCGCCGCCAGTCTCAATCGTCGAGCGTCACAGTTACGTTTTCATTGATCTCCCATCGATCGCTTCTTCTTTGAGAAATAATGAACTTTCTCGCCAACAAAGTAAATGACAATTTAATTTCAAAACTTTGACATTTCAGAATTTACTTCTTAATACTTAAAAGTTGTTACTGCTAATTTGTTTTAAGAATAACATGCATACATTAAACAGGCCTAAACCGTCATTCCGGTGGATATTACAATCTTTTGAACTTGTCGCCACAACCTCGTAAATCATTCTGTTTCTGCATTTAGGGTCTATCATAATACCTCGTTGCTAGAAGAAGACAACGGACAACGATAACCCGCTTCCTTACAGAGGTGCTAGCACGGGGAGGTAGTAGCTGTGAGCGGGCAGAGTTGCCCTGCCCAGGCGTAATCGGGGAGATGCCCCGGAGGGTGTTGCGTGCCGGCGCATGCGGATGCCAGAGCCAAGGTGTTCTTGTGCGCAGAACGGGCGTAGCCTAGGTGTTCACTCTGAGGAGCAATCCTCCTGACATTGCAAGCGAAGTGTGGTGTTGTGTGCGCTGGTTCCCTCGTGTGTGGTCGCACATGGCGTGCCCGGGAGGCGGACGTGCACTCCGTGGGACACTGCGACTTCGTTGCACTGGGCATCCGATTTCACTGGTCGACAGTGTTTTTGTTAAATGGCTAACTGTAGCCGAATACAATCACAAAAGTTGCCCATCGGGACCAGTTTTTCTGTAATCAAATATATACTAACCTACATATTTTTCGTAGATACCAACATGTCATTTATACTGAAACGCTATTTGCTTTCAGGTTTATCACTAGATGTGGTCGCCAACAATGTATGATATTGTAGATACCATTCAAGATAGGAAATAGATGCCAGATCGGTCAAATCGGGTGAGGGACTTCGGGCATTGCGAAGTGAATTGCAGTGGCCACGTAAACAATGCACCGACTCGGCGCGTTCTGTACGTGGGTCACTACCTGTTGGTTGCGTCCTGTGTATGGGGCGAGAAAGGTGTTGACATTTCTGGAGTGCAGGACTCCTCTATTCGTAGCGTTCTAGTGTTAATTTGTGCACCAACGGATTCCTTGCAATGCCGCGGCAATGAGTAAATCATCCAAACAATTTCTGTTATGTGCGTGGTGAGGTAACTTTCAAGAGCCGAAGGCCGAATATTACTCCCTTAATAAGAAATGCATATGAATTGTATGTCGGGTGCCAAATAGGTGAACAGGACAAATGGGCGTGGTCCCATTGCATTTGCTGCGCGTCTTATGTAACATTATTTAGTGGTTGGATTAAGGGAAATTCGCGACGTATGTCATTTGCAATTCTCAACACCTCTGATGCCATTACTGAGTGCATTGAGAGACCATCATGATCCTAAGACATTATACGCGTCTATAGATTAGTTTAAAGCCGGGCGTATTCATAGCATGAGAAACCAGCTATTCCTCTCGTCTATGCAACCCATGTGAAACAGACGTATGGCGTCATGAAACTTTTGTTTTCCAACACACAATGTCAGCGTTCGTGGAATATATTTGGTATTTCAAAGTTATCGCCCTTTGGTTAGGTCTCCAGCAAAGATTTTCTAAATTTTGCTGTTTTCTGTGTGAGTGGGATAGCAGACATCGCAATAATCATTTTGTGAAAAAGCACTACTCTAACACTTGATTCCTGGCAAAAAAGTATTACTTCGCAACGTCTTGTAATGCTCACACGTATATATCTTCCTTAATCAAACTCAGATTGATGAAACATTTTGTGAAAGTAGTAAATAAAAGTAGGCCAGGTTTTCGGTACTTTAAGGGAAAATTTGCGAGAACCAGAGAGAAGCAAAAATAATGGAAATATATTTATAGGATCATAAATGAAGGAACTTAAGAAGGATCATGACTTTGAGGCAAGAATGAATTGAGTGGAAAAGGCTACATGGATGTCGCTTCGAAACGTCGTAACTGAATTCCTTGTTAACAGAAAAGCTGAAACGTATGAAGAACTAGTATAGTAACTCCTAGACAATTAGAAAGCTCTGGGATGTAACATGTTCCTTAATATACATTTTCTCGATTCCCACTTAGACTTCTTTCTTAAAAATCTCGGTGCTGTAAGCGACAAACCGGCGAGCGTTTCCACCAAGACATAGCAAAAATGGAAAAATGTCCTAAGGGAAAATGGAATCAAAATATGCTTGCAGACTATTTCTGAGCACTAAACAAGGATGCACTCAAACGAAAGACGGACACCAATCGCGTCAAAATTAAGTATCAAAATTACGTATTGTTTGAGATTATTATATATAAATGATTTAACTAAAACCAATAACAGCAGTCCCACCCAAGTTCTCTTTTCTTTCTGCTCATACACATGT